TTCCTCAGGTCAGCAAAGTACTACAAAGTACACACAGTACACACTACATATATGCTGACTGTTCACTATTCTGTTCCTCAGATCAGCAAAGTACACAAAGTACACACTGACTGTTCACCTTCTCGTTGAGCAGGATGAGGCCCAGCAGGGGGCGGGACATGGACCACTGGTTCCTACAGTCCTCAAAGATGATGATGTTCAACACTGTGGACAGCATCTGCTCAACCTCAACAACAACAACAACAGGGTCAGTTCTCTTCGTCTGTGTGCCACCACGGAGCAAGCTAAGCTAACAGTAGCGCCCTGCGTCCCGGCCGCGCCCCGTGTCTCGGGGGTCTGACCTGCTGGATCATCTCCGGGTGCTGCTGCATGATGTTGAGGAAGCGGTCGTCCGTGGCCATGGGCGTGCGCCTCTTCTTGGTGGAGCGAGACAGCTGCTTGAACAGGTAGGTGACGATGTGGTCCAGACTCGAGCAGCACCCCGTGCACACCATGGTATCTGAAACAGACGCAAAGGGGGTCATGGAACCGCTCCCTGAGCCACAGGGGGCTGCGGTGAACCGGGCCTGCGGGGGTCTCACCGAGTGCAGTGAGCCCCTCGGAGATGGAGGACAGGATGTACATGACGACGTGCGGCTCCAGGCTGGCGATGAAGTTCATGTGGTCCTGGGTCAGGACCTCCAGCAGAGAGTAGAAGGACTGGCTGAGCTTGGGGTAGTCCTGCAGGGACAGAGCGGGTCAGGGTGCGGCACCAGAGGACAGAGAGCTGCCGTGCCGGGACTCACCAGCAGGTCGCTGTGGGGGATGGAGAGCAGCAGCTTGATGAAGGTCTGCAAGGCGTTGTCCAGGGCGTCGTCGCCGTAGAGACGGAACACCCCGAAGTTGACGTAGTTCCCGCTGAGCACCGCCTTCAGCATGGCGAAGCACACGCTGACCCCCTTCAGCTTCACCCCGTAGACCTGGTCCTTAGGGACCTCCCCCAGGGTCAGGATGCGGTTCCCTGCAGGAGCACCAGGGTTCCATCATTAGATCATGTGACATATCAGCTATGACATCACGTATTACACGACTATATGCAAGCGGACAGAGTGATGGGGTCACAGTACCGTAGGTCGTGATCATCTTGCTCGTTTCTCTGAACAGAAGGATGCCGTTGGGTGACGACACGTCAAACTGAAGCCTTTGTGATCTGTGAGGACAGACGAGGGTCATCAACAACCAACATCCCGCTCGCATTCACACTACGAGAGGAACATCTCTTCATCTACCTATTGTGGACGAGCTCGGCCATGAGCTTGAGGACTGGAGTGGTGCATGCTGGGTCGTGGTACCAGAGCTCGATGGCTCTCTGCAGGATGGGCATGTAGGCTGGATACCTGCGGCGCTGCGTTAAGCTCCTTAAAACAGCATTTATTCTTCTATGAACACACATAGTAAAACTGTCGCGTTAATCCAGGAGATCATTGTGGCCCAGATGAATCCTCCACGGAGCAAACAGACCGTGTGTGAATAGATGAAAACAGGATTTCCTCTGCTCAGTTCATGCTAAAAGTTCTCCTGACTGACCGCAGCACGCGGTGCTTTTATTGCATTAATCTCGGCCACAATAATCCCAGATTAACACGTTAACTGACTGCATGTCAGCAGCCACACGACAGCGTGAGGATACATCCAGTCAAACAGCATCATGAAGCTGGTCTTGGCGTTGAAGGCGAAGGCGATTCCTCGCAGGTCTCTGACCAAACCTACCAGGGTCCTCTACAGGAAACCAGAAGAGGAGGAAACCGTCACAATAAAAGCCTCTGGAGGAAGACATGACTGAGACAACACGGGGTGAACAGAGACGGACTGTGTGTACATGTGTCTGCGCTGTGCTCAAAGGTTCAACACATGAATTCATTGACTCGCTCGCAACTGGCCAGTGAGTTAGCGTGTTAGCTCGTTAGCAGCTTGTTGTGGTTGCTAGTTTGCCACCAGAGGAAAAACCAGCAGCTCGACAACCTTCGCAATAAATTGTTTCAGGTCAGATTTTGCAGACTTAGTCGTCTTGGTGGGTCTGTGGTGTCTTCTGAGGGGGCGGGTCCATGTTTCAGGTACCAGGGTGCTGCTCAGGTCTGGACCTCATCCTCACCCAGCAAGTCAAGTTCCTTGTACGTCTGACGTATTTTGGTAATAAATGATTCCTCTTGTATCTTTCCCGTGTTTTCATGTAGCAGCAGTCATGCAGTTCGGCGGCTCATTGTTATAAAGTTAGAATGTCAACACATTAAGACAAGTAGCTCCATGACGTGTAGAAATAGAAGAGCAACACGGTCAAACGTCGACACCTTCTCGGTGGAAGGTTCTCCAGGAGTCTTCAAGCAGCTCCACGGGGGAGTCACCTGGAAGGTTCTCCAGGAGTCTTCAAGCAGCTCCACGAGGGAGTCACCTGGAAGGTTCTCCAGGAGTCTTCAAGCAGCTCCACGGGGGAGTCACCTGGAAGGTTCTCCAGGAGTCTTCAAGCAGCTCCACGAGGGAGTCACCTGGAAGGTTCTCCAGGAGTCTTCAAGCAGCTCCACGAGGGAGACACCTGGAAGGTTCTTCAGGAGTCTTCAAGCAGCTCCACGAGGGAGTCACCTGGAAGGTTCTCCAGGAGTCTTCAAGCAGCTCCACGAGGGAGTCACCTGGAAGGTTCTCCAGGAGTCTTCAAGCAGCTCCACGAGGGAGACACCTGGAAGGTTCTCCAGGAGTCTTCAAGCAGCTCCACTTGTTGGCTGCTTTGCCTTCACTCTGCAGTTCAACTCCTCCCAGACCCCCTCAAGTGGGTTTAGGGGGGTGATGGTGGAGGCCACTCCTTCTTGGTAGCCCTCACAGAGCCTGGAGGTGTGTTGGGGTCTTTGTCCTGGTCCGCTAAGCTCAAACCAGGTGGCATGACGCTCCTTAAGTAGGCCTTAAATCACCAACAGTGTCTCCAGCAAAGCCCCCGCACACCGTCACACCTCCACATGTAGAAACCATCTGCTCCCCTGCACTGCAGTTTACATGGTGGGTGGAACCAAAGATGTTTAATGTAGTTCCATGAGCTCCTGGGCCCAAGCAGGTCTCTTCTTAGCAGCCATTGGACCTTGTGGGCCTGATTGGGTTCTGAGAGGCCTTTCTGTGGGTTCTAACCTGAGCTTTGTGAGGCTGGTAACTGGACTAACTCTTAGTCTCCAGACAAACCATTGAAAGAGAAGGTGTGGCCTGACCTGACTAGTCCTGTGCATGTGTGTTACCTTGGCCTCCTGCTCGTTGAAGGTGTTTGTGCTCAACATCTGAGCAACAGTTTCAAACGCAGCCGTCAGCGGGAGCATGAACTGCTCAAACTGGTCCTCGTCTTCTCCTGCACACACAAACGATTCATTACTGTCTTTATACAGACGCACCACGTGTACCATCATTCAGTGTGTGTGTACCTAAGTCCACCATCAGCAGGCGCCCCAGCGCGGTGTAGAAGGTGGTCCGACACCTCATGTCGCTGAGGTTTGATTGGTTGTTCACCCCGAGGAAGGAGAAGTGTTCGCTCTGAGTGGCGTCAAACACACGCGTCACTTGCCATGAATACATTGTTATATGGATCATAGAAGCAGGTCACGGGAAAGGAGCTCACCGTGTGGTTGTTCAACATGAACTGCACCGCACTGAGCTTCACCAGCTTCCTCACGCTGCTGTACGTGAAGAACAGGAAGTCAAGGAGCCAACGGGACGTCACCGTCTTATATTTAAGATACACACCAGTGGTCAACCAGTCAGTCAGTGATTCAACGAATAGACATGATACATTTACTTTTGCGTGATTTTAAACAGATCGATTAATTTACTCTGAAATAAGACTGCAGTATTACTTCTGGCCATGAATTCACGGCTCAATCGATTTGGATTTAAAATTATGTCAAATCTTCTTCTCTCGACATGAAATGAATCTTGCTCCAGGTGAAGCACATCTTCCTAAATTTAATTAAATAAGAAGCAGATGATTAGACTCTGTATCAAGCGCAGCAGGTTGCTAGGCAACGGGAGTGGTGGAGGAAAAAGATGATGAAGCAAGCAGGAGGTCCCCTGTAGGCCAGACCGCCTCCTTTCAGCGGACCGGGTCCTCTGGAGGACAAGAAGTCAATGAATCTACGGTGGACGTGTTGCGTAATGAAGGATATCCCAAGGACAGGTCGTTCAGCAGCTGGAGAGTCTTGGAGGTGATCGGTTCACACTGGCCCCAGTACTTCAAGTTTGTGATGCTGAAAGAGACAAAAGACACGTTCACTCTCACTATGAAGCCCAGAGGCTCCCAGTCATTGTTACACACAACTAGCTGATAAAACACTGGACACGGCTTCGTCAAACCACTCACAACGCGTCTGGATGCATACGCTTAGCTATGCTAAGCTAAACAAACGAAGCAGACCGTTTACAGCGAAGAATCTGCCAGATCCTCATTCCTGTGTGTCGGCTCTGAGGATGCTAATGAGGTGTGAATTATCTTAATCAGCCACAGAGAAACAACCCTGCGCACTCACAGGCCTTTTTCTCAACATCTTCTAAAGATTTTGGCTCATTTTTTTGTCTTGTGTAACAATTTCTAAAAATGTGTCCTTCACTTTATCTAAATGTGATTTTGAAGCTGTGACAACATCAGTACAGAGGATGATTATCCTAAAGTGCTTTTTATTTTATTATCATCATTTACGCTTAACCAGCAACATATATACTGAAATGTAACCATCTGAGCAAAGCCTTTATTATGTACACAGACTTTGTGCTTCCAGAAATATAGTCTTTCTTTTAATTATGGGCATGAAACATAAAGCAGGGGCATAAGAAATGAATACAAGAAAAACGTCCTGTTCAGATGAGACAACATCTCTATTACTCACATTTTTCCTATGAAGACACTGAGGACCATCGTCTCGTCATTCAACCCCAGAACTTCTGATAGTCGTCGGTAAAGCTGCAAATAACAGAGACACAAACACACATTAATATATTTATAATAATAATATATTAATCTAGGTTTGTCACCAAAGAACCATTGAAGACTTTAAGCGAGTCCAATCAGCGTTTGTGTAAAACGCCGCTTCTCCAGAGAAAAGAACCTTATCTGGCTGTATTTCATACGTTTGGGGCGCCAACTAACGAATATTTTGATAATTGATCAATTATTTCTTTGATTAATCGGATTTAAAAAAAGAGCATTAAAAAGCTTTCATTTCATTAGAGGCTTCTTAGTTTAATTGATCAGTGTCTCCTTTACAGGCACAACATCAACTGCGGTATAACCCACAGTATGTGCGCAAGCTCACTGGACTACCGTATATGACATTAAGAAGTACACATACAAATATATTTGTCAACAATAACCAAAATGGGACAACAGATTAAAAAATGAACGGTCCAAAAAAAGGCGAGTAAATAAAAAGGTGTCTAGTCTTACTGCTTTACTGCTGTTATTAGCGGGCTAACGCTGGAGGCTCCTTATGTTGCTCACGTCAAAGCGGGACAACGTGCCGCGTTACGTTGACATTTTGCCATTGACACCATTTTAGTTTTTTTAGTGTGAGACGCTCGCACACGTTGGGCGACTTAACTTGAACAGACGTATAATATAATAATCCATGTTATTGATTTGTTGCTGCAGCCCTATTTGCGTTACAAGGCTTTTACTGTCAAGGTCAGCGGGTTGCTAGGCAACGGGAGCGGCCAACAGAAAATCTCATTCTCATTTCGGAGACGGGTCCGCTCTTCAGGTCCTTGAAGGACCCGACCCACGTAGACCACACTGAAATGAGACACAGCGAGTGTGTGTGGACTTCTCATTATCAGAACCCGACCCACGTAGACCACACTGAAATGAGACGCAGCGCGTGTGTGTGGACTTCTCATTATCAGAACCCGACCCACGTAGACCACACTGAAATGAGACACAGCGCGTGTGTGTGTGGACTTCTCATTATCAGGAGCCGACCCCACGTAGACCACACTGAAATGAGCCCGCAGCACGTGTGTGTGGACTTCTCATTATCAGGACCCGACCCCACGTAGACCACACTGAAATGAGACACAGCGCGTGTGTGTGTGTGGACTTCTCATTATCGGGACCCGACCCACGTAGACCACACTGAAATGAGACGCAGCGCGCGTGTGTGGACTTCTCATTATCGGGACCCGACCCACGTAGACCACACTGAAATGAGACGCAGTGTTCTGACGCTAAAGGTCAGAACACGGGTGATATGGCCGTACCCCCCCCGCCCCACTACATGCTTACTACATGTCCTACAGGACGACACCATCTGGGAAGTTCTCATGTGTGGTTACTGCCACAAACAAAGAACTGACTGATCAGTCAGCAACGATGGCAGAGCGTCTCTATTAGGGCAGGCAACATATTCTAAATTCAATTTAATCATTTTTGTGTAGGTAATATGCTGTTAAACTAAATAAATGAGCTTTACAAGTGGTTATGTCTCGCTGTATTCATTTGTACTGTTACTGACGTGCCTAATGCACAAAGCCAATATGACAGCCCTCGTCTCTATGGAAGCAGCAGCAGTGAGGACAGAGCGGGTCCCCGGGGGGGGGCGTTTACCTTTGATGATTTCTGCACCTGGTCTCCGATGTAGATCTTCCTGAACTGCTCAAAGAAGCTGAGCATGGCCAGCTCCAGCCTCTCGTTGCCGGCCTGAGCGAGCCGACTGTCTGTGAGATTCATCAGCTGGAGCACCCTGAGGTGCACACAACAACACATGCGTGTGTCATCACAGTGCAACACGTTACAATGTAAATCTACAGGGCTACAAAAGCTGACCAGCTGCCTCCTCAGTGGATTCATTGTTAGGGTTTGAAGTGAAGGTGGAGTCCCACAGGGCGCTGTTTGTCTTGTTTATGGATCAATGAGTTCTTACCGACAGACTAACTCTCCGTCCATGGCGTCCTGCTCATCTGTGCTCGCAAACGACACCCGTCCACCGATGACCGCCCCGATTATATAGACCAGCCACGTCAACCGGCCTGCAGGAAGAAGGAAGGTTACATGTCCTGAAAACGGGAGGCTCTCACTGGGAGTCATCAAGGTGGTGAGGATTCCCTGAGGACGTTGCCCGTAAACCTGATGTGAACCTGAGGCTGCTACAGCGCGTCTGAGTGGCACGTACCCTCCTGCACGGTGATGTCTGCGGGGCTGGAGTTGGTAGACTGCAGCAGCTCCTGGTAGGTCTGAGCCGCCTGGTCGAACAGCTGCACCAGCAGAGCGCAGGTTTTCTCGTACTCGCACCTCCCGATGGTGGACAGCTGATCCAGCTGCTGTTGGACCAGGCCAGCGTCGTCCAAAGGGTCTTCTAGTCCGTCTCTGAGGAGACCATCAGCACATCGAGAAGCTGATGTGATTTATTGATTTATCACGAATCCACAGAGCATCACCTGTATCCTCACTTATCGGATCAATAACACTCTGATGCTGCTCTATAATATAGCGTAGCTCTATACGTAGAGATTCAATCACATTTCGTATCTGAAGGAAAACTGAAGTTGTGGTTTGATGATGTCACTTCCTGCTTGACACTATCACAAGAGGAACTGTGGACCATCACAGTTTGGGTCATTCTCTACAACTTTGGTCCTTTGGTCACATGATCCTCAGCGAGCTCACCTGAGGATGACATGGACCGACTCCAGCCGGGAGGTGATGTAGGCCTTGGTGACCTCGGGGGTGTAGGTCTCTAGCAGGTGGGGCTCGGTGGCTTTGACGTACGGGACGGACGCCGCGAGGCGTTGCCACAGACTCAGCAGGTAGTGGACACTGTTGGGGGCAAACTCCCAGTGCTGGGGAGGGGTGGGAGGAGGGGGGAGGGGTTAAGGTTTACACGCGGGTTTACTTTGACACGACACGTGCAACAATAATAATGTATCGTTCATGAACAAAGAAATACTTTAGAAACCAGACAATCAGGTTCCACCTCTTACTAAACAAAGCTTGTGTTCAGACACATTGCCCACGTTAGCCCCCGCTCTGAGCCCACCTGCAGGCTGGTGACGGTGAAGTTGGCGATGAGGCGGATGACCTCGGGGTAGTTCTCCACCTTCACCAGCTCCCCAGCTGGTAGTTGCTTTTCAGCCTCGCCAGCAAGTCGCGCGGACTCTGGGTAGTTGTTGGGGATCCCGCAAAACACTAAAACCCAAAGGGCTTCAAACCCGGGACGCCCCCCTCCCCTGGGGGGGGGGGGGGGGGGGGGGCGTCTGGAACAAACCTGAGGGTTGGCTAGAATCCTCTTCACCCCGTCCACCAGGTGAGACAGGAACTTGGCTCGCTCTGCGTTGTTGAACAGGGACCTCCGGACCGAGGCGATCTGCACTAAACATGACAGCACCTGCGCACACACACACACAGGTTCAACCCGTGTCCCCGTGTCCCCGTGTCCACGCGTCCTCGGGAGAGCTCATCACTTACCAGCGGGGAGAGGGACGGAGGGATGGAATGATACAAGTTGAAAAAGAGCTGCAGAGTGGAGGAATCGAGAAACGCTGCAGAAAGAAACAGAAGTCAGATGCTGATCCATCGAGGCGACATCACAAACTCATCTCACACAGGGGCAAAGGTCAACCTGCTTTACCTCCTCACAGGTCCCACTGACCCCCCCGTGCTCCCGGCAGGTACCTGATCTCCAGGAGGTGGGGATCTGGACGGTGCAGAGGTCGTCCGATGACTCGTCTGTGGAGGTTCCTATGAAGTCGTAGTTGAGGCAGTTGTAGCTCAGTTTGAGAAGCTGCATCAGGAGGCCGTGCTGAGACTCATCGTTAAGGTTCAGGTTCTTCCCCGACGCCTGAGGACACACAGCGAACGTTCACCCCCCGCGTCTCCACTAGAGCTGCAACCAAGTCGACGCGTCGTGTATTCTAAAAAGACTCTTTTCATGCGGCATTGCAATACACTACAGAAAGTGCTGGGGGCGCTATGGCTTCTACGTCCACATGGGCCCCGGAAAAGAAGACGTTTATCAAGTTGATCGTGGGAGTCGAAACAAGCGAGACAGAGACCTTCAAAAGTCACCACGCACGCTTTACTGAGAAGAGGACGTGTCGTGGATGTTTGCTACACTTCTGTCACATGAAGGGTAGTAAATCAGTCTGAAGAGTTAACATTAACCTCCACTTAGCTTCAAACTTCAAACAAGACTGTGGAGAAAAATGATTCCATATCAACACAATTACGAGAGATCTACTCTAGCATAATGATATTAAAGCCACAACGGGATAATTAAAGCTGCTTTTCTCTCTTCAGTACTAAGGCTCGTGCACTAACCACGGTGACATGGGGGGCAGGAAGTGAATGTGTGTACTGGATGGAAATAAACGCTTTAGCCAAAAGGAATACTTGCCTCTTTGTTGGTCTCCACGCTGCAACATTATCGTTAGATTAGCCGACTAATCGAAAAAATAATCGGTAGTTGCAGCCCTACTCTCCACTAAAGCTCAGCTACACGTTCTTACGTCGTCGCCATGGAGATGTTTGATTACTTTGAGAACTGACCTAAACTACACACAGATACACAATATGTAGAATGTATGTCAACATGTATACATGAATAAACAAACCTGCTTGAGGAGGTTGCAGGAAAGAGTGAAAATGTCGAAAAGTGAAGAATCTCTGAATGAAGAAGCGATCTTCCTGTGTTTGGTCAGAGGGTGCGTCGTGTCGGCCTGAAGACAAACACAATGTGTAACACCCGACACACACACCTGACACACACACACACACACACACACACACACACACACACACACTTACCTGATTGATCTCATTGGTCAGCTGGGACAGAATGGTGACACCTATGATGCAATGTTCAACACTGTCCTGTAAACACACACACACACACACATTTCCAATGGTCCTTGAATTAACGTTTCCATTGTAAAAAAACACAGCTAAATATTCTTATATCTTATATAATATATCTTTTCTTAGTGTCTCATTTTAAATCTCGCCACAAATAGAATCTGATTACAGCAAACGATTTATTAAAAAAAAACATTCAATTCTGAACTGTGATGTCATGATTGATTCATCCATTCGACCAACAGTCACGTGACCATAAAGCGGCGGTGGCCCCGCCCACAGACCTGCAGGAAGCGCGTGACGTCGGCGATGACGTTCCTGAAGACGTAGTCGTCCTTCTGGCAGTCGAACCAGCCCAGCTTGGTGATCCGGGCGTACAGCTGGATCAGCGCCTGCGTCACGAAGGCTGCCAGCTTGGGCCGCGTGGCCAGATAGTTCAGGACATAGTTCCCTGTGAAGGAGACATTCAGGCACCACCATGGGAGACGAATGCATCCGTATACCACGTCAGATATGAGAGAGGATGATGGTTGGTAGAGAAAAGAAATCCTACATGATGCTTCCAATTGATATTTCAACTCAGTTTAAAAATATATATATATTATATATATATTTGCTTTCACATTACTAGTCTTTATTATCTTTAAATGATTGTAAATTGATAAAAGGCAGAACAACGTCTGAGAAGAAAACTAATCATAAAGTTGGTGGACGTCAGACAACCACAGAAGAGGACACGACTCCTCGCTTCAGGGGGTCTCAAGTCCCTGAGGGTGAGCCGTTGGTGTAAAGAGGAGGACTCACGGATGTCGATGCGTTGCTCAAGGGGCAGAGGGTTGCTGGTTCGAGACACCAGCTTAGACAAACAGGTGGCCGCGAGCAGCTGAGAATACGACGACTGCAACGAGAGAAGAACACAAGTTTATAGAAAGCCTGATGATGTCACACAGCGCGTGGGAGACCCTCTCAACCCCCCCGGACCCCCGCTGACGTAGTACTCACGCTGCCTCGCTCCAGCAGCAGCTGACACTTGCTGAGGCAGTCGGGGCTGTTGGTGAACTCCACCAGAGCTTTCTCGGCCTGGTGGCGGACGGTGGTGTCGGTGGTCTCATACAGCTGCTTGCACAGGATCTCCAGCTGGGCCAGGCCCTGGACCAATCACAGGAGAGGAGGGCACGGCATCAAACGCCACGCACAGGCTCCACTCTGATAACAAGCCATGACGTTAGCACCAAATGTAATCTGGGCGCCGTTCCTCGTACGTGGATAACTGAGTTAGCGCGGCTTCATCTGAGCTGCTGGATTAGTTCATCACGCTCTTCCTCAGTGATGAAGGATCGACATCAGTTAGATTAACGTTTTATAGGGAGAGACTTCTATGACATCACAGAGACCCGTCATGACATCACGATGACGTCCTGTACGAGCGCCATCGATGCTGGAGACAGGAATCATTTATTTACAAGAAGGTTTTCTGGTTACGTGGCGAACGCCACACGCTGCAGCCGAGCATCTACAGGCTGCAGGAGACTCTCTGTCTCTCATGCTGTCTCACACACTGTCCTGTCTGTACAGTGTTGCGATGCAGAGAACATCTGGAAAGCCGCTGCATGTCGTGCTCTTTGTAAAGTTCTGTTGGTTTATTTGTCGCTTAATAAACTTCTGGATGTTCAATTGATCAAATGTCTGATTATAAACAATGATCACATAATAAACTGCTAGTTCTATATGGTCATTACATACATATGAATCATCAGCTGATACGAATGAATAGGATACATGAACTGTATCAATTAGACTCTTTGGGCTTTTGCATATTTAAAGAAATGTACTGTGATTGATTAATGACGAGGCAAATGAGCCGATGCATTAAACACTTACGCATTTAACATGAACTTGTTTGCAATACTGGCAGGGGGGGTGTCAGGTGCCATGATTGTGTCTGCAGAGTCTCTGGTGGCAGCACAACAAGCTAACACGCTAACAAGCTAACTCGAGGGCCACACGTGGACATGTGGTTGGCCAGCGGGCGGCCCGGTCCTTTTCGGGGGTCAATGAATGAATGCGTTTACCGTACTTGAAAAAGCAATACCGTGATATGCTGCGACAGTCAGACTCTTTTTTACTAGCGTGACATGGATTTTTGGCCACAGCGTGCAGCCTGCTAGCATTCATTTAGTATCGCACATTAGCCTCATGTGTCTTTACAGTCTGTACACATGTGACGTCCTCTGTGCAGAAACACTCAACACAGGAAAAACCCCAAACAATGAAAAGTATTTGATGGGGAGAATAAAGGGAAGAAACCTTTAGAGAGACAGAGGACGATCCTCCAGGGACGGACAGACTGCGATGGACGTACAGAATGAACAACGTGTACAATACAACGACTCTTCGGCCTTCTGACGTAAGACGCGCGATTATCATCTGGTTCAAACTAAGGAGACTGATCAGCGCGGATCAGCCTCTGAGGAACAGAGATAGATGTCAATCGTCATGGATAAAGGGACATTTACTCAGTTGAACCACAAACTCCTGGACAATTTTAACTTTTTGGGGAAAAACTTCAATTAAATCTGCAGACAATAATAAAACATTCAAAATACTGGCAACGTATTTACATACAGATAAAAGTAATAAATACAATAATGTTATTAATATTATTTAAATGGTAGAGGCTCATTTCCAGTGCCTCAATTAAAACAATGTTTCCCCACGCACGGCAGTTCAACACCGACACAAACATGCGCGCAAGTTGTAATAGAAAAATACAATATATTCATGGACTACGATAAAGCAATGAGTACGGCACAATAAATGAATGAATACACAATGATAAATCACAATTTATAAATGAAAATACAAACATAAATATAGAAATATACCACGATTAAAAGTGTCAGCGTGGAATAAACTCACAACAATCGAGCCACACTAACTTATTCTCATAAGCAAGCTCAGGATTTCTGATCAAAAAATTTGAGCACTTGGGATATTAAAAGGACTCAATAAAAGGTAATTGATTTAACCGTAAAGGGTAAATCAGTTATAGAAACTTGAATTATTTTTATCCAACTGACCAAAACATAAGACAAAAAAGACGATTATTCCGGCGACTTTACACGTCGACGCACTGGTTTCACTTCCTGGTTGTAAAGTCCTGCGTGTGTTGCAGAGCGATTCACCTCCAGAACAACAGGTGGAGTCACGTGTTCTGTTGAAGACGACCTAGAGAGTCACGTCTTTGTGTGTGGAAGTCGCTGGTTGCTTTATTTATTGATCATAGACTTTATTGCCCCGTGCATCCACACTGCTGCTTTTCATCAAGGACACATTTGTCCCGTATTTTCCTCCACGACTTTGTTCCCCTGGTTGGTGGAGATCTGCCTCCATGAATCAGAGGCCGTCCGGCGTCCTCATAGTCCGCCAATGACGGCTTGTACAAGCGCTCATATTTAAAAGCTCTTCAATCTGATCCGTTCTCTCGTAAACGTTCTTCCTTTTAATAACGGCCGTATTGTGCTGTGAAAACGGAGACGTGAGACTCCGTAAAGGACGTAGTCAGCAGACCAATCACAGCCTGCTGCTGCAGGAGGCTGCGTCGCTTTACACGCTAGTCTACAAAAATGGGTCGACGCACGCAAGGAGGCGTGAAAAGACACGCAGGGGACACGCAGGGGACACGCAGGGGACACGCAGGGGACTCTTGAGTCTGCGTTTCCATGCGTCGGTCTGAATATGCAGAAGCATAAACTCGGCTTAACCCTAACCCGACTAAAAAACGAACTAATGGCACGTTTCCACCGAGCGGTACGGGTCGGGTCGGTACGGGTCGGTACCCTTTTATTTGTGTCTCCACTGCCAAAAGTTGAGAATGGTACCAAAAATCCAAACGGTACCACTCTTTGGGTTCCCTTCCGTTGAGGTACCTGGCACAGTGGTTTGGCACTAAAGGGCGGAGCTAGACTCACTGCAGAGCGTTGATTGGTTGAAAAGTGTCGTCATTTGCGCGTGCCACAAGGGGAAAGACAACACACGTAACACGCCTGCAGCGTGTAGCCTCCTTGTGACAAACAGCCACATATGAAGAAGCAGGAACAGGATCGGCTGCACGTCCGACATTGTTGTTTGCGGTTAGCTTTTCAGCGAATCACGTCAATCTACTTTCCGTCATACACCACGCCTATCAAGTGACGTTATCACTACTTTCTGGAATACACCACGCCTATCAAGTAAGGGTACTGTTGGCGGTGGAAACGCTCGCCAAATCATGGTTAACAGACCCGACCCGTACCGCTCGGTGGAAGCGCGCCATTACTGTAGCACTTAAATTGTACTTAACGTCACTTATCTATAGCAAATTGTAAATTGGCTTATTTGAGGAAATTGCAAAATGACATGTGATGGAAAAAACTAATAATAAACGCAGTCTTCACTTTAACATTACAGGTTTTATCTTAATATATATGAGTAAATGGAAAATGTGCAGGTGAATGGGAACAAATTGCTGTTTAGGTTGATATAAATATAAATGTTTTTTATAAATTATTCTCTGGTTCCAATTCAGTCATTGTGAAGATGTTTATGCTTTTCTTTGACATCTTGGTGGACGTGGACTTTAGTTCTGTAATGGACATTTCTCCGCGATTGTGATTATACTTTCAATAAAATGAAGGGAACAACCTACAGCCTGCATTGAGGCTCATGAGTATTTAACATTTGGGGCAGATAGTCCGACGCACATTTAAAGAGGCCTTTCACAGGGCGGGAGAGAAAGCGCTGAGTCATAACTACCCCAGTCAACATGGGGGGGGCCGGCTTCAACCACAAGATTAGAGGAGAAGGGTGGAGGTCTGCATTTGGAGGGTAGGGGGTCTCCTCACTAGGTGTTGCATTCACATGCTTACATGAGTATGGGAAGTTTAACTTGTAGCAGGTATGAGCGTGAGATCACGAGACTATTGGATTTAGATAAGATCCAGACTGAGGACAAGCTTTAAAGGTCTTTACAGGAAGTAGGAGAGCAGACAGTTGGGTTCAGAGGTCATCATAGGGAGTAGGAGACGAGACATTTAGGTTTAATGTCAGTTGGTTTAACCTTAAGCCACCTCATGGGGTCTACCCATGATAAAAGGTGTTATACACTCAACAGTTCTGTCTATCTAAAACATTTCAGTGGGAATAAAAGGGAAGCCCTATGAGTGTTCTGATGTGTAAAAATACATGTATACGTTACTGATGATGAAATAACCCAATATAACACCTTCAAAACCCTTCAAATTTTGACATTCGCCTGAAATAAAATCCCTAACAGCCATATAAGTCCTATAAAACATGGAGATACCGGGCTGAAACCCTACGTGACAGCACAGCGTGTGCACACCGTAAGCACAGGAAGCTTCTCCTCTAGAGGAGGCTTTTGTTCAGGCATCTCTGCTGACAAACACAAGTCAGAATCTGGATTTGTCCGGCTCTGGTCGGCCGGATCACGTCCTTCAACCACTTTATGGAATCATTTGATCCTGTTGGATTTGATTAACCCGCGAGGAAATGATTGAGTTTTGGTGATTTTCAAACAAGACTGGAGCGGTGTGAAGCATTCTAATATTCGCTTGTGACGAGTACACAATATTCTGTTGGAAGTGGGTTCTGGCTCGGTTCTCCCCCCAAGATGGGACTCTTGGGTGCAACAGGTATGTCTTTACATGTAGGAGTAGGAGAGCACTTCTGAAGCATCATAGATCCAAAAACACATTCAGGTTTTATTCAGCACACGTACAATAAGGCCTCAAAGCTTCATGATTAGGAAACAAAAAACAATTAGTCAATTAGCAGTAGGCTGTAACTGTAATATTATATTTATAAACCGCAATATGACTGAGTTACTTGCACACAAATAAAAACTGAAAGATACGTTAAGTTATTTTAAAACTATCTATTTAATGAAAACGCAATATACATTTATTTAGGTTTTATTAGAATCATCTGACATTTTAAAACCTGGTCCCGGTCAGATCAATCGCTTTACTGCTAGAATGAAGTCTCTGCGGGATCATAAGCTTCATAGCAACAACAGCAGCTTCAGCGTGGGGACGTTATGAGGACTAACATGCGGGAGAAGGTTCGGCCCATTGCTCCTTTCTGAACGTGTGTCCGAACCACGAAGCATCAGCTAGCTTCACGTGCTAGCTAAACAAAAACAGCACTGCTTAGTTACGCTCATCAACAACGCGGGTGACCCTTAAATACTGAGTTTATCCTCCGTTAATCGCTTCCGGTGACGGACGCAGGGACAGCGCCCCCCCCCCACCCAGACAAACAGTTAAACCAGAACCATGTTTTTAAAACGGACTCGGGCGGGAGAAGTGGACGTCTGGGCTAACGTTAGCATAGCTTTACCAACGGGCTCTGCTATCTGTAGCATAACAAAACAGCAAACAGAACAGAATGTCAACATTTCAGCTCTTAGCGCCAAACAATGAGTCAAAGTCTTCCGTTTATAACAATATGTTCACATTGTGATTCTCAATGCCGCTAAACTGACCACCATCATGTTCGCCGTGTGACAGTGATCTTTCCGCGCTTTATTGTTTACTTCTCCCAAAATACGTCAATAAAACACTTTACTTATCCCGGTGCGTCCGTGGGTTCACACGACGGAACCACCGGAAAAACCTTGACGACTCTCCGACTCCTGATTCTCTTCTAAATACCCAAATGTACTTTTCTCCGCCTGCTAACACACGGGTAATCACACATGCTAACATGGACGATAGCTCACATCCAAACACACGAGCTAGTATACAGGCTAACACGGGCTACTGTGCATGCTGACCCATAAGCTAACACACGGGCTACTATCCATGCTAACCTATAAGCAAACACACAAGCATTCATGCTAACCCATAAGCTAACGCACAGGCTACTAGCCATGCTAACCCATAAGCTAACGCACAGGCAGTAGCCTATCCATGCTAACACACTACTATACATACGAACATATAGGCTAACACACAAGCTACTATCCATACTAACCTACAAGCTAACACGCATGCTATTATCCAGGATAACATACACGCTAAAACACAGGCTTTTACCCAGGCTAACATACAAGCTAACCCTGCAGCCGAGCAATGACAGCGGGCCACAAGTCAACACAAGCGGGCGCATCCTTTCTTTTCCCGCCGGCAGCTGAAGACGGACGTCCCATCCCGGCCTCACACGGGCTCCGAATCCGCGACACGCGCACCCGAATCCGCCATCACACTCATCTTCGCGCCTGTGGACGCGTTGTCGTTTACGAAAACATGAAGCCACTGCTCACCTGCACATGATCCGCCATTTTTCTCCATTTCATGCACCTCTCACTCCCCCGCTTATGGGTATGTAGAGACAGCAGCGCCCCTCACGGCGGCTCGGCGGTACTGCAGCTCCAAGCCTCCCGAAGGTCTGAGGAGGTCTGAGAGGGAACGACCATCCCCATGGTAACTGTATCCAACACACATGGACAAGTTCACCTTCATCATCCTCACTGTGAACATCTGAGGGGGACCCGCGTGAAGCCAACACCATGGTAACTGTGTTTAACACATCTGGAAGATGTGCCATAACACGCTGTAGAGTGACTTATTATTGGGATCCTGTTCATGTTTCAAAATTATTAGCTGATATATTTGCAGCACTCTGGACAATATAAATACTTGTTATTGTTCGTATTGGGAGGTTATACAAAATTCAAAGGTCAAGCGATATGTATCAATATATATTTACATAATATGATGACTTAATGTTCATTTCTGCTCTCCCATTGCTGAATATTACAAACGATCACATTTGTAATCCAACCTTGTGATCACAAGAGATAAAACAAAGGGGGGGGTCATTTCACCCTATAATGGTTGGGGAAACACTCTCTCTCTCTCTCTCTCTCTCTATATATATATATATATATATTCATCATAAATACATTTTTGCTTATATTTGGCTGCAGGTTTTCTTTTAATTTGAATTTTTTTAAGTTACACCTTTTAAAGATGTTGAATATTCTGTAAATAAAATGGGATTCTGTGGGAAACATTTTATTAACACTTCAATAAATAAATTAAATGAATGAATGTACAGTATTTGCTGCACATCTTAATTGAAGTGAATGCTTTAATACAGATGTTCTGTAAAGAGGTTCTGTAGACAGCGAAACCCATGAAGCATGTTTTAAAATGTTTAAAAAGAGAACACAAATGTTACAGATGTAAATTTCGGTGACAAGTTATTAATTAATAACTTAATTGCCAAGGAATCAACGTATGAGGTATACCGTGATGGTGGATTAACCATAAACTAGGCTTTACATGCACATGGCCGAGTCCATTTTAGTTAAGCTTAGTCACGCATCGATGACACAATTTAAATAAATCCTATGGGCTTGGTTCTCTCCAACCGAGGTACTGTTGTTGACCCTAATCAGCTTTGGAGGATTGGGACGCTACAGGTAACTTACCTGTGCCTGAACCAGGGGTCCGTTTCAAGAAGCGGGTTTAGTGGAAACTCAGAGTTTGTTCACCCTGAGATGAGGGAAACTCTGGCTTGTTTCACAAAGGGAGGTAACTAAACACAGTGACAGTATCAATGTAATGTTTAAGTGTAATCATTTGATTAAACAGAACAAGACAATTATTTAGAACTGTTGCCTCACCTTCCCTACAAGATACCACTAACTAAGGTAACATATCTATGTAGTTGGTAATGAGTCCTCTTTGGAGAATCTTAAACATTACAGTAAAATCATTTTAAAGTCCCGTCAGCAGACACCGAGCGCCCAGTTGAAGCACCAATAAAAATCCGCCCCGCTACGTACAAACATACGGACAAGTTTTTGTTCCAAAACCAAAGCTCTTTTTTTAAGAGCAAAAGGTTTTATTTTGCAGCCAAAAAATCTATTTTGATAAGGAAAACTAACAAATCATTTATTCTCAGTTTATATATTTTTACTTACAAACTTGATTTTTGTTTGCAATGCAGGAAATGTGCTGTCAAAACAGTTTTTTTGTTTGCATAAGACACAAATCTACCTACATAGTTTACTGGCATCAGCAGTGATCTGTGGTGCGTTCAGGGACCCTCAGACAAACGGACACTCCCACACACAAACTATTAATTAGAAGTTTCTCATGACACTCGTATTTTTCAGGGTTTTCCAATAAATATGATAAACAGTTAACAGTCGGCAGTCGGGCTCATCAACAGAACCTGGTCCCCCACTGACTGACTCTGACATCCCACCGGACACTTTCACTTGTCACTTTCTGTTCGCTGGTGCACTTTAGTTTTATTTTTTAAATATTTTTAACTTTTTAACTTTTAGCTTTTATTCCTTTTTTCAAATTTATCCATAGCATTATATTTTATTTTATTCCTCGTGCATTGTTGTTTTGTCGTCCATTATCGTACCGTCTGCTGTTGCGCACCAACTGCCAAGTCAAATTCCTTGTATGTCTGACATGGCAATAAATGTTTCCTGATTAATAAATCCTGACTCGGTTTCTCTCTCTAAGGGTTCCTTCCTCTGTCAATTTGAGGGTTAAAGGTCACAGGATGTCTTATCATATCTGTACAGACTGTAAAGCCCTCTGAGGAGAAATTGTGATTCAGTCTTTACAAAATTCAATTAACTTAATTAAATTGGGTGAGAGGATGTAGTGACATATATTGTCCTACAGGGGGCGATGAAGGCTCAAATGTGTCAATGTGATGCAATTCATCAATTCATTCAAGTCCATGTTGCTGTTTGCCAGCAGATATTTATTCTCTCTAATTTATCAATAAAGAGAAGCCGAGAGACGGGAGAAGAGAAAACTCCGTAAAGGACGTAGTCAGCAGACCAATCACAGCCTGGTGCTGCAGGAGGCTGCGTCGCTTTAGACGCTAGTCTAGAAAAATGGGTCGACGCACAAAAGGAGGTGTGAAAAGACACGCAAGGGACACATTACATTAAAGTGTAATGTAAGTCGCTTTGGATAAAAGCGTCTGCTAAATGACCTGTAATGTAATATAATGACACGCAAGGGACACTTGCGTCTGCGTGTCCTTGCGTCGCTCTGAAAACGCAGAAGCATAAACTAGGCTTTAATCCGAGCTCTGCATACGATGACGAATGGCATTTACTTGCTTTACATTACATTTCTGGTTTCATGCACCACACAGCAAGACGCCACCTTGTTGACTGACTGCGACACAGTGTGCTTCCCATCCACACCTGTCCTCATTAGCGGGCCCTTACGTTACCATGAAATGCATTAAAGTATCACCCTGTGGTCAAATGTAGCAACTGCATGTCCCAATTAACCCGGCGTTTCCCTCAAAATAAACAAAAGCAACAAAACCTGCATAATGACTCCAATAAACACGGTGACTTCCTGTTGGAAGTCGACTTCCTGTCGGACTACATGAACACGGCGACTTCCTGTCAGACTACATGAACATGGTGACTTCCTGTCAGACTACATGAACATGGCGACTTCCTGTCAGACTACATGAACACGGCGACTTCCTGTCGGACTACATGAACATGGTGACTTCCTGTCAGACTACATGAACACGGCGACTTCCTGTCAGACTACATGAACACGGCGACTTCCTGTCGGACTACATGAACACGGCGACTTCCTGTCGGACTACATGAACACGGCGACTTCCTGTCAGACTACATGAACACGGCGACTTCCTGTCGGACTACATGAACACGGCGACTTCCTGTCGGACTACATGAACACGGCGACTTCCTGTCAGACTACATGAACACGGCGACTTCCTGTCGGACTACATGAACACGGCGACTTCCTGTCGGACTACATGAACACGGCGACTTCCTGTCGGACTACATGAACACGGCGACTTCCTGTCGGACTACATGAACACGGCGACTTCCTGTCGGACTACATGAACACGGCGACTTCCTGTCGGACTACATGAACACGGCGACTTCCTGTCGGACTACATGAACATGGCGACTTCCTGTCGGACTACATGAACATGGTGACTTCCTGTCGGACTACATGAACATGGTGACTTCCTGTCGGACTACATGAACACGGCGACTTCCTGTCGGACTACATGAACACGGCGACTTCCTGTCGGACTACATGAACACGGCGACTTCCTGTCGGACTACATGAACACGGCGACTTCCTGTCGGACTACATGAACATGGTGACTTCCTGTCGGACTACATGAACATGGTGACTTCCTGTCGGACTACATGTCCGACTACACTACACAGTAATGCATCACACTAATACAGTAGTGTATTTATCCTGAGACGTTGCACCAAATCTAATAATTATGTGACTTGAAAACCTGTGAGGGCAATTGGTTGACCCAGATCTTTGTCAGGGTTTGTTAGTAAAATCCATATGGTGGACTGTTTTGTGTTGGTCCATTACATAAAATCCCAATGAAATGACTTATGCAAGGCGCTGTAAATCTGTTGTAGTTTATGGTCCTTCAATTGTTCTCGGGCGCACTTCTTCAGTCTGATACTCTAACTGGAGGTGTAACAGTCACAGGTGAGCTTTGACCTTTTACAAACAGAGCAATTTGACCTTTTCCTCTTTCACTTTCACTTTCACAACCAATTTGTTGTCAGTGAGGCGGCAGCAGATCAATACATACCGAGGAGCATATGAATCAATACATAATGAGAGTCCCTCTCTCCACCAGCTGGACTCTGCATTCACTCACCACACTCTCCTGGACTCGACCTGTCCCTTTTTCACCCCCTGCTGGACCCCCACTGTCCTCGGTTGTCCTTCCTGCCGTCTCAGTTGTGACCAGTGGAGGTCTTCTCTGGACCTCCGGGTCCATGGCGGCGTTTAGCACGCCGACCAGCTGCAAAACGTCATCGCTCTCAGCGCCACTCAGAGAGAGAGTGTGTCATTGAACACATGTAACACAATAAGTGATAATCGAAAACGATTTTCCCAGTTCTCATGTAGGGAGTCACTGGTTGAGGAGTGAAAGGTCAGAGGGCAAAGCAGAAAGTGCCAACCAGGCAGACACAAGTTGTAGTGTCTTCAAAAACATGTTTTCACGATAACGACGTGATTCAAACTGCCTCTAAAAAGTCCACGAAGGCTGTAAAGTTTAAACAGCTTTAATGTAGTTACGTAAAACAGTACGTCTTCTAACAAGTTTTCATTACATCAAAGTGAAAGTGTGTGTGTGTGTGACCCAGAGAGAAAAGAATTAAAAGCTGCAGACTCAGATTCTCTTAAATCCTCTTTTGTTTTCCTGCTTTCATTTCAGACGTCTTCATTGTTTGTTTTCTATCACCTCAAGATCTGCTTTTATGAACGGAGGAGACACACACACACACACACACACACACACACACACACACACCTCTGCTGCCTGCTTCAGGATTC